TTATAGAGTTTGTTTAACTGTATGGTATCTATTCAATTACCCTAAGGGATAACATTAAGATTCCTTAAAAAAAAAAATTTAACCAGAAACTCTAGATAAGAAGCAATTTTGTCAATAATCAGCCAGATAAATTGAAAATTATACATTGTTACACATGTATAAATAAAATATAAAGAAAGTAGTAAAAATTTTGATGAATATAGAAGAAGCTTGTTTGTTGGTCGTTTGCTGAAGTTATGAAGACGTACCGTACTGTTTAAAATCTTTGATACAGAGAGCTATCCAAAGCCAAAATAGATGGGAGAGACCTGAGCTAAACTTAAGTAGATCTTAAAAGGAAAAAGTATATTCCAACCAAACAGAATTTTCCAAATAGAGTAATCTGGATTCTTAAGCTCCTTTTTTAACTGGCCGAAGGAGAAGAAGGATCTGAAGTAGAGTTTTTGTAGCAGAAGTTCGACACGTTGAAGTTCTGTGGAATCAATACAATTAGGACCTGCAGTTTCAGAATCATTCAAAGGTATTTCCGATTCCGAACTTGCAATCCTTGTTTCTTAATCGAGTTTACTTGATTTAGTTGAATTGGGATCGAATTTATTGGTTCATTGTACATGACTATCTCTGGAAGATTTTGGTTGTGATTTCGAGTGTCTAATCTGTGTATCAAGTGGTTTCTGTGCTTTTGCTTTATCATTCTCATGTGCCCTGTTTCCCCATTAGTTTCAAAAAAATTGCATGTGTTTATACCTTGATGTTTTATAATTTTGCAATTCGTGTTCATTAAAACTCTGATATAGATGTGGAATCTGCACTTTAGTCGATTGATCCCTGTCACAACTTGATTGAATCTTTTGTTAGCTCGTGAATGGTGTCTTGTGTGTACAAATCTCATGGATGTCTTTAATTTTCGTGTTCCTCTGAAAGAACCGTCCTCGTCTTATGAGTCGTGTGATATGTGCTTCCTTTAGGGCGTCCTGTTGGTGTATGAAATATGTTCTTGTTTGTTGAGTTTGGTGGTTAAAAATGGCATAAGTCTGGTTCCTTACTGAAGATTCTTATAAGTGAGTGCATATCCTGTTTTAGCTTGATTTCAATTCATTTCATGTTTGACTTCATTTAACTGCTGTAATGAGTCAATTTTGTCTGTTTTGAGCGTAATTGGCAATAAATTTTAATTAAAGCAGTAGTGCTGGCCAGTTTCTACATACTGCATGAGAAGTTTTAGGTTGCCAAATGCCTAGGACATTTTTGCAAGAGTAAAATGCATTATGACTAGGATTTGGTGGGGGAGATCAAGTTCGATATAAATTTTTTTTTTTGGCCGAAGAGTACAGGTTTTTTTTTTTGGCCGATATTACAGTATGCCAAACTCTTATATGCACCCTTTATTTATTTTCTTTTCATGGTAAATATCTTACAAAATTTTTTCTTTTGATTAGTATTATTCATTTTTTCAAAGTCATGAAAAATTTGATATTTTAAAAAGTTATCACATAAATATTAATAACTGTTAAAAAATATAATACATAACGCCCAAAAAAATGACTTATGCATTATTAATCCGATGTGAACATTTTTTTTTTTATGGTATGGCATAATTTTCTGCCATGTGTGTAGTTGGACCACTGAAAGTCCAAAAAAACTAAAACAGGGGCTTTAAAAGAGATCTGTAGCACTTTTTGGGGATTTAGGGTTTTGCTTTGTCCCCTTTTTAATCTTCACCGATCTTTCCACGAACTTCCTCTTTAACAGCAATTCCCAATCAAATTCGCCAGCCTCCCAACAAAAAAAAAAAAATCATACACCTTCCTCAGAAGAAATTCTCATCAAAAAACATAATTTTTCCACAAATCAAACCCTCTTACCACA